TCATTCCAAGATAACATATTAAGAAGTCCCAGCGGATACCGCGCTCGTTTTAGAAAGGGCAGTGATTTTTGCACTTGTCGTGATTATCCTTGCTCTGTGTACTTGTTGTACCAAAAAGCATTCTTGGTCTATTTTAGCTAAAAGTACTTTGGTTAAGGTCTGAAATTTTCGCTAAACTTTGTCCTGTGGTACCTTTTTTTACTCATTGACTGACACTAGTGTTCACATTGTGTTTTAAACCTTTTTAATCAAATTGCAATGATTAGTAAGACTTATAAATATGGACAACCAAACTGCTTGTTCCTCGTTGAGGAAGGAATGCAGTACGATTAATGTATAAAGTGGTACCATAAGATGTGTACACGTCTAAGTCCTACGGCATACAAAAGATGCTCGAAGCCTAATTCGCATTGGCTTTTTACGTTTTGCTTTACAAATAAGAAGTTACTAAGCTAGGCTTCGGCCTGTAAGAAAAACGATGGCGGTCGCGCTGATAACACGAGCACTGATGGTGAAGAAACCCCACATGATGTGACTTAAGAAACTCTTCTTCTCTTTTAGATTTAGTCTTCACACACGGTGATGCCGTTGGTCAAATGACTTTTCTCCCACCAATTCCAATTGCCCCATCTGGAGACCAGTACTTAGTGGGGTACCTCAAGGTTTCGTCTTAGGTCATTTACTTTTTATAATGTATGTTAATGAGCTTCCAAGTATAGTACAGTCTCCAATGTTATTATACACTGACGATGTAAAGATCTGGCGAGTAATAACTGGAGACACAGACGCATGTGCTCTTCAGGCAGACTTAAATAATATTATTAACTGGTCTAAAGAGTGGCTGATGCCTATCAACGCGACAAAGTGTGTCTACATGCACTTTGAGAGTTCAATAGTTTATAGGTACAACATAGGGGAAGTGTCATTACCCGCGGTCCGGTCTCATAAAGATCTAGGGGTGACAGTGAGTCATGATCTTAAGACGACGGCCCATTGACATGAGGTCGCAGCTAGTAGGTTTCGAACCCTCTGGGACTTAAAACGGACATTCACTAAGTTAGATACTACCATAATCACCACAGTATACACATCTTTAGAGAGAACGAAGCTTGAGAAGTGCGTTTAGGCTGCAAGCCCCTGTTTAAAAGATGACTCGGATATCCTAGAAAAAGTACAGAGGGTAGCTACCCGTGCAATTCCAGAACTCCGGGATTTACCATACAAAGAGAGGCTTGAAAAACTGGACCTCTTTACTCTGTCCTCTCGCAGATTAAGGGGAGATCTAATTTTGATTTACAGAATACCGAGAAATGATTTTGGACCTTATTCTCTCTTTTTCTCCCCACAAGATCGGGACATTTCAGAGGACATAGCAGGCGAGTAGAAAAGCCAAGAACGAACAAAATACCCGTGGCATATAGGCTTTCACACCGAGTCATCAATATTTGGAACCTGCTGCCTGAAGCAGTGGTGTCCGCACCTTCAATTGACTCTTTCAAGAGAAGACTGGACACTCACAGAAGCATACTAGAAAAGGAATAACATAGGTTGTAGGCTTTTTGTCTTTACTACACTACTGATCTGAATTTGGAATACCTAATTATTTCCTAGATTTTCTGTTATGGTAACTAGATGAAAATTTTGAAGGGTCATTGGGGAGGATGCAAAGCCAGCAGAAATATGGTGAATCCGAAATCTTAAACAAAGAGCAGGCACGAATCGTAAGAGGCCCATTTAAAAGTCGGGTTTCTAAGACACGGGCGGATTCCTATAATGTGAGGGGTAATGCATGGTTAAACTAACAACATAGAATAACTAAAACGAGAAGCCGAACTGGTGAGACTAATTTATGGACAACCTTTGAGCGACGCTAAAATGACATCGAGTCTCCACTTTATAACTAAGACTAAATGAGGGTTATGCACCAGTGTGAGGAATTAGAATTATGATTTACAGTTGATGGTTAGAGTTAGGTATTTGATTTATTGTTTTCATCACGAACTGAAATCAGCTATAATGCCGAAAGTCTATTTAGCCAAGTGAATGAGATTCGCGCCAGAACTCGAGACCTGATATACTTGATTATAGTCTCGCCACCAAACTAACGATCGCTCTATTTTTCACAATATTTTGTTAAAAAAGTTGACAAGGATATTGATAAGCAGTGAAGGATTTACTGAGCATACACAGGTAGAATGAGGAATAACGACCATCAAAACAAAAATATTAAATGCCAAAATCGAAGCGTTTAAGGTTACCTTGGAAATTGTCCCTTTCCTAAACAAGCTTGCCATGATGACTACAAGCTACCGGTCGAATGACCGCTAATCATGACCTTCAAAATAGAAAATTCGGATTGGCTGAATACCTAGACGGATCGATAACTAAGTAGACAGATTCTATTGGCCAAAATAAGTATTTCAGATTTGGTTTAAGCAATCAGAACAATACTGTACTTCACCCAATGGCTGTAATTAGTCTTAACATGTTGTGACATGCTTTTTGTTTTGACTAGGGTATTATCTTGAAAGCGAAGCTAATTGTTTTGCTGATTTAGTGGGTTTTTCAGGTTTTTTAGTTGTGTTTGATCACAGTTATAAAAATCCAAGTTTGAAAAGTGGAATTTCATCACGCCAATTGGCGTGATTTTGTATCTAATAGCGGTAGATAAAAAATATGCTCAGGAAAATGTGATATTCATAAATGAGAGGGAATTATCTTCAATAAATGCATATTTGAAAACAATAGTGTACTGAAAATTCCTGCGACAAACTCTTTACATTTACATATAATGTTGATGTTTTAGCGTATCAAGCTGTTTTCGACCCATGAATCTTTGAACTTATTTAGTTTTCATAGTTATTTGTCGAATCAGTTTGTAGACTTATGCATCCTGAAATGTGTTTGATGTTTACGCCTTAATCAATATTTACCTCCTTACCAAATGGTTAGTACAAATAACAGTCTCGGTAACCATAACCCTCTTTGAGTATAATTACCACTTGATTACATAGAAACCCGATAAGTGATGGTATTTTAGGATTTTAGTCGGCTTACGGGTGGGTTTAAATGTCTCTATTCCTGGAAAATCGACTAGACTATCAACATATGAATGTTTTTAACATACTCGAACAGTGAACGCTTCGAACACATACAACAATACTGAAAACAAGATAGCGCGAAATTGTCAGTGTTGCTTGTAATCAAACACAAAATAAACTACAGTAGCTTTGGCAACTATGTATTATTGGCACATAATAAACTAACTTAAAGGTTATTGTACAATTATTCGGAGCCCGATATAATGACCAATCATTTTCGTGAGTATCATTTGTTTTTTGACAACCACATGAAATGAATAATAGAGTAGTTGATTGGCAATACCACATTCTCCATCAACAAACCTATATTGACTAGGAGAGCACTAGTGTTAATCATCATACTTGAATATATTTTGATCTCAGGGTTATGATATGGTATAAATCCGAAATAAAGTAGTCTGCGAAAGTGAAAATAATACGATTTTGTCTGTTAATGTTGGAAGTCGAACTATCATGGAAAGTAAGAATCATAAATAACTGTTTATTTTACCAAAAATGCCATGTATGCATCCTATTGAGAACCAACGTAGGGATCCAGAAAAATTATAACATCTTACGGAAATCTTTACATAAATCAGATTTCATTTTTTTTTACTAATAGCCCCTTGAAAATGTTATTCAGTAAAAGTGACGCCATACCATTTTATTTGCTATCACTGTTGACGAATTACCAGAACAAGTGGACATACATTAAATCCTACGACTTCCAAATAAAATGCATTTAATTCTTACTGCATAACTTCGGGAAATCAGAAAAATCTGGGAGTAATCTTTTAGCCAAAATACTTAACAAGTGAAGTTGACATATGGATTATCATTTGATCTCTTAACTCTATTGGTAGAAAGCTAAGCTGATGATCTATAAGCTATTTTGAGTATTATGACAACCAAGCACTTTAAAATAAAATTAATGTTGAAGAATTTCTCTAACTATATTAACATTCTAAACGATATTCTACCTACTATTAATAAGTTACTTTCTAAGAAATGTCCAAAGCCATTAACTCTCATTGACATAAAATATTATATTTCTTCTCATATAACCACTTGAGGCCACTTCAAAACCATACAACTTCACTTTATTTAAACGTGGTTAATATATATGAATCAATACCTATTTTAATTATTTGATGATAAAACTAAAACAAGACTTTCATCAATAGTTGTATTCCAAAGGAGGTATTTTGTAACATCAGTGAGTGGATAGCTAATGGAATTGCCGAAAAGATTGCACTAGACAAATTTGTAAGACGACAAATTCAGTTTTGTCCCAGTTACTCACGTTTTAATACATCATAGGAATAACAAAAGAAAATGTCTAATTTGTAACAACAAAATAGTATTGCTTAGAAGAAATACACATCCACATACACACTTTTCATCAAATCAAACTTCTAATTTAAAAAAATGATTGCATGATTCAGGCTCATGGGTTAAACCACATAGCAAGCCATCAGATATAATGATTCGAATCAAAATCTACCTTATTGGCTAACAGCTTACAGTGCCGATATCCAGTTGAGTCACCTCTTTTTATTATTATTCATAACACAAAAGTCATAATCTATTGTTGTCATAGATATTAGAGAATTAGAGAACTATTTGTGTAGATTGGGGACAAATCAAGACTAACTACCTATTGGACATTATCTATAAAAAAGTTTCTGTATGCTATATTCTAATCTTTATGTATATGTTTGTAGATATTTGTACCATTGAAATAACCAATTATATTTACCTTTTCTAGAAACTCAGTGCATTCGTTGTCAATGGATTAAATTCGATTTAATCTATAAGCGTTTATATTCTGTGTCTCGCAATATGATTACTGACCTTAGATTCAGTGTGAAAAATGAGTCTAAACAAAATTATACATAATTTTCATTAGAATACTAAAACATGTATCATAAGAATAATCCATCATGTTTCTTTTTTGATCAAGTTAAACCAGTAAGGCGGGAAATTAATGAATATAAAAAATCTTTGGTGTATAACATTAATACTATTCATTTACATTCTGAGAATGCCGTGTTAATAAATAATAATACAAATGACCAGTTATTAAATGATACAAAGTATAATTGTAGTTCCACAAAGAATACTAGTCGTCCTATAACATTAGCATCTACAGGAGAAAAAACGATAAATCCAAAAGAACAATTAATAAATAAAAAATCAATTTTAAAACAGTATGATTATTATTCGTGGGTTGAAATGAGTGAACAAATCATAAAAGACCTTTCAATTTGTTTACATCAAGAAAATGTCAAAGAAATAAAACATCCTAGAATATTAGATTATCGTTTAGATGAAACATGGGATGAATTGATTTCTATGGTGGATTCCAATTCAAGAGATTGGCAATTACCTGCAATAAGAAATGCATACAAGATATGGATTCAAGTAAGCTATGCAATAACATAGTATGAACTTATGACAAACGTCTAAGAAGTATTGTTTCAATAAGTTATTTTTTATGTTAGTCTGAGTTTAGAACTCTAATAATTTAAACTAAAGTATATGGAAAAGACTTTAACTAAATAACTAAAATGCATCTGGTAAACAGGAATTTTTAATCAAAATATTGGTGATTATAACGTACTTGATAATATGGAATCCATATCTGTGAATTCTTAGTAAATCCATTTATAAGTGTCTGATATATGTAAGGTGTCGAGTATTTCCAGGCATTTTTCTGTTTATTTAGTCAGTGGATACTGTATGTAAGGGCATAATATTCATTGGGGAGTTTATTTTAAACTCTAAGTTTGTTTACTTTTTAATTAGGTAAGTTGGTATGCGCTACAATGACGTATTCACAGAAGATACATGAAGATAGATTTGGATGACTGAAATGAAACCCCCAGTGAAAATCACGTTCCTATATGTCACATCTACCCACTAAATAATTAACTGAATATAATCTATAGATGGTACAAGATATATCAACATAGTTACTGTGTTAAATGCAAGCTGACAGTTAGATTTATGTAAAATATCCTAAATAAATTAGTTCTTATATTGATAAACACAACAGAAATATATGTAATGAAGTTGGAGAAAATTTCCTAGTTTTTCTATTTTCCCTTATCTACCCATTTCTAACAAAAACCGCGGCTTAAAGGTCCTAGTAACACATGTGAAGTTACTTGAATTAAACAGCTGTTTGAGCCTTCAGTTCTAACTGGTAAACGTTTCTGTCTGAATTCACACATCTTTACTAGTGAACATCTAAGAAATAGTAAGAAACCTGTTACGTCCTTGATCTGTCTACCCACTTTAAGTGCTGAGGACAACTTGTCTAATCTAGATTAAGAATTTGACGCGATAGGCTGACCGGCCTAACCTTGCGTCTAGTACGCGTGAGTTCGAAGTGAGGTAGAGAGAAAAAACTATCCTATCACCTAATTGACCGACAAGCACGTGAGTGAGAGAAGACAAGTCGACTGGAATACTATTCGATTTATTCTCAATTCCGATCTGGTTCCTGATTTCAGATCAGTGTAAAAAGATACATGAATAAATGACTAACCTGACCGCAACGTACAATAATTAGAAAAATATAATGTCCAAAACTGGGGATTAGAGTAGAAAATAGGGTACAAAATAATGCGTTTCAATTACAATAGCTTTGGAACCCAAACGGCTATGGCAGTGAACCAAACATCAAACGAAAGCTTATGATCTGCAGAATAGACTAGGGACAAAAATAAATGTTAGTGTTTTACAAGCTTTAAATTAACTGAAATAACGTCCCTAAAATAGCTTCCGCAGTTTGTCAAGGCTTGTTTCTTTGTTTACATCAAAGCCTATCAGGCATTGTAGTCACAAGATAATTTCAAAAAGGTTTTTCTAGTTTCTATAGAATGTTTCACTCTTCTTGTAGTGGTAAAACTTTAAAATCTAGAATTACTATCATCATCATCATCATCATCATCATCATCATCATCATCATCATCATCATCATCATCATCATCATCATCATCATCATCATCATCATCATCATCATCATCATCATCATCATCATCATCATCATCATCATCATCATCATCATCATCATCATCATCATCATCATCATCATCATCATCATCATCATCATCATCATCATCATCATCATCATCATCATCATCATCATCATCATCATCATCATCATCATCATCATCATCATCATCATCATCATCATCATCATCATCATCATCATCATCATCATCATCATCATCATCATCATCATCATCATCATCATCATCATCATCATCATCATCATCATCATCATCATCATCATCATCATCATCATCATCATCATCATCATCATCATCATCATCATCATCATCATCATCATCATCATCATCATCATCATCATCATCATCATCATCATCATCATCATCATCATCATCATCATCATCATCATCATCATCATCATCATCATCATCATCATCATCATCATCATCATCATCATCATCATCATCATCATCATCATCATCATCATCATCATCATCATCATCATCATCATCATCATCATCATCATCATCATCATCATCATCATCATCATCATCATCATCATCATCATCATCATCATCATCATCATCATCATCATCATCATCATCATCATCATCATCATCATCATCATCATCATCATCATCATCATCATCATCATCATCATCATCATCATCATCATCATCATCATCATCATCATCATCATCATCATCATCATCATCATCATCATCATCATCATCATCATCATCATCATCATCATCATCATCATCATCATCATCATCATCATCATCATCATCATCATCATCATCATCATCATCATCATCATCATCATCATCATCATCATCATCATCATCATCATCATCATCATCATCATCATCATCATCATCATCATCATCATCATCATCATCATCATCATCATCATCATCATCATCATCATCATCATCATCATCATCATCATCATCATCATCATCATCATCATCATCATCATCATCATCATCATCATCATCATCATCATCATCATCATCATCATCATCATCATCATCATCATCATCATCATCATCATCATCATCATCATCATCATCATCATCATCATCATCATCATCATCATCATCATCATCATCATCATCATCATCATCATCATCATCATCATCATCATCATCATCATCATCATCATCATCATCATCATCATCATCATCATCATCATCATCATCATCATCATCATCATCATCATCATCATCATCATCATCATCATCATCATCATCATCATCATCATCATCATCATCATCATCATCATCATCATCATCATCATCATCATCATCATCATCATCATCATCATCATCATCATCATCATCATCATCATCATCATCATCATCATCATCATCATCATCATCATCATCATCATCATCATCATCATCATCATCATCATCATCATCATCATCATCATCATCATCATCATCATCATCATCATCATCATCATCATCATCATCATCATCATCATCATCATCATCATCATCATCATCATCATCATCATCATCATCATCATCATCATCATCATCATCATCATCATCATCATCATCATCATCATCATCATCATCATCATCATCATCATCATCATCATCATCATCATCATCATCATCATCATCATCATCATCATCATCATCATCATCATCATCATCATCATCATCATCATCATCATCATCATCATCATCATCATCATCATCATCATCATCATCATCATCATCATCATCATCATCATCATCATCATCATCATCATCATCATCATCATCATCATCATCATCATCATCATCATCATCATCATCATCATCATCATCATCATCATCATCATCATCATCATCATCATCATCATCATCATCATCATCATCATCATCATCATCATCCTCATCATCATCATCATCATCATCATCATCATCATCATCATCATCATCATCATCATCATCATCATCATCATCATCATCATCATCATCATCATCATCATCATCATCATCATCATCATCATCATCATCATCATCATCATCATCATCATCATGTAAGTTAAAAATGATTAACTGAATATAACTACATACAAAAACCAATATCCCTGAAATAACAAAAATAAATTGTTCAGATATTTATTACGATAGAATCATCTGGAAAAAAACAGACATATAAATCATATGAGATGCGTTCACTATGCTAGTTAATGTGTATATAGCGAGTAATGCAAATTTTCATGATTAATTGTCGAATAATCAAGGTGTGTGAGCAAGAATGTGTGTAGATAAGAGATCTATTTTAAACTAACTCTACCTGAGAGGTTTGAGAATTTATATGTAACTATAACGCTCGTCAATATTACTGTGCCACCATTCACATACATGTAGTGTTGTTAACCGAAATTCAAAACGATTAAGATATTTTACTGAAACAAGATGTATGATACCCTTTATTTATTTGAAGATGATGGGGAGGGGGAATAATCTAAGATTGAGTTCCACCTTTGTCATTATTGAAAACTTCTGGTTAATTTTGACACTATTCACCAAGCTTCGACGTCAGGATTCAATGACGTATTCAGAAAGTAATTACAGTAATTAGTTTTCTTACTATAAGCTAGTGGATTATTATAATCTTATAGAAATAAATTTCATGTTGCATGTTTGTTGTTAACTGCAGTGAAAACGCTACTTGGCAGGAATAAACGTCTTCTTTCTGTCTTGGCTACCTAGAATGATATGGCATTTTAATCCAACACTTGTATTCAGGATATATTTCGGTTGTAATTGATGCTAATGAGTTGTTCAAGTTGTGGCATAATGGTCCATATCAGTTTTCGATGGCTGGTTGTTGACATTTAATTTAACCATGTAATTGCATTACTGAGGCCTTGACCATACTATTAGATTACACATGTACATGAAACATACAAAGTGACTTACCTTATATTGATTGTATTCTTGTTGTCTGCCTGCTGAATCAGAAGCAAATTGATCTGAATAGTTTATAATGTAAACATAATCTCAGCTATTTCATAAACATTAAAAAATATACTAGACTTTTCTAGCAAAGCCGGTTAATATGTACTGTGACTGAAATTATGAGGATTTATTGGACATCTGTCATTTTATTCCCAAACTGTATTTATGAGAGTAATCCAGTGTATAAATATGGTACTACGATCATTGAAATATTTTCATGTGAATGTCACATCTCTAACAAAGTTGCTTTAGTTAACATTGTATTAATCAACCATTTAAAATAAAAAATTCCTTATTGTTTGAGACATTTCAATTACATTATGTTCTGAATTGAGGAAAACCCTCCTGAAGTTGATGCATATGGAATGAAATATGAATCAGTGAAAAAAACAAACTCCTCATATGGTCTTGAAATTGCTGGTGCTTATACACCTACACCACGAAGCTCAGTATTTCGTAAGCAATCAAGTAAGCCAAGCCTTACAAATAATGAGAGCATGGGTATTCATGTGAAAACACCAGCTGAAAGAAGTTCAAATGGTAAGTTTCATTATGATACCTTCTTTTTATTCTTTACAATTCGTGTAAATATTGAAGAAAAATTGTTTTAGACGAATTTTGTTGTATGAGATATTAGGATCTAGTTCATTAAACAGCTTAATGATAGTCTTACTTAAGACTCAATAGGTAAATGTACATGATACGTAGCGTTGATAATCACACTGAGACTTATACTCAATATTATTTGTAGAAATTTGCATTTTTTTATTGTTAAGAATCAGAATTGAACTCGAAAGTGCTCTGACTTTTGACACACGTTCTAATGTTATTGTGAACATCAACTCTACGATTAAAAAAACATTCAAATGCAACATGTAACCTGAATCCCATTTCTACCCGCTACTCAAGTAGAACTAGGACGTGTAGATAGTTTTAAGCATCTTTTCAAAAATTCCATTTGTAAACATGAATTGGTGTTATACAATTAGCCATAATTACTACGTATATTAATAACACTTTCATGTTCGAAATTTGAACTAAAAGTAAAGTGCTCGTCGGGAAATCTAAAGATCATGGAATCGATCACTAACTGGAGTTACAGTGGGAGAGTCCCATTCCAAGACGAAATAACCACTTAATCTCTCTGGTTTTCAGTGGTTTCCATTTGATTGCTAAACTTAACTCAATAAACCTCTTTAATGAATTATCAAATAATTCAGCGAAAAGATCAAGCCTCAAACAAATCGATAACAAAGCTTCAGCCAGAATAATTATAATCATAAGAAATCGTGTGATGAAATATGTTTTCGTTAAATATACACTTATTCGAAACATAAAAAGTTAACTATTTCATTTCATACATGTTAGTGGTAATGACAGGCAAGCAAAATTACTGAAAGTATTTCGCACTGTTTGATTCAGATATGCAACATACTTCGGAGCGAGCTTCTAATGTAAGAAAGATCAATAAAGATAATTCCCCACCAAAAATTTTAGTGAATAATACTCCTTCAGAATCTTCAAGATCAACACAGAAATTCGATAGTCTGAAAGATTCTCTGAAACATTCTTTACCTTTTTCTCCCGATAAAGAAAATGAATCAAGTTCAGGAACGGAGAAAGAATCGAAAATTTCTCTTCTTCCCACGAATCGTTTACATATTTCCAGTAAACATATTCTGTCTACAGGTAAGTGATATTATTATAATTCTTCTCCACAAATATGTTATCGGTATCATTGAATAAAATAAAACAGTTACGATTAGTTAAATATTATACATTGAGAAGAGAGCTGTTCTAGAACTAAATTTATGGCTACTAAAAATTATCCAATCACATGTAGTGTAGATTGTAGTCATTTTTGCTGGACAGTTATACATCTAGTAATGCTGGCTATTTTCTTTATCACTGCAACAGAATCTTTATAATGATAGTCTTGGTCAGATTTTGTATATGATATCCAAATAAACAACAGTTCGAATTAGGATTTCTAGACACCATAGGCATAAGAAATCGAATGACTATACACTACTCTGTAATATGCATTCAGTACTGCTGCCAAGTGTTGTAATCTAAGTAAAATCTACCCTAGCACAATTCATTCTCATAAAATCCAAAGTAAACACATAACGAAATTAACTTATAGTGTGAAAAAAGTGGTGAAGTACGTCAGTGTTTGGTAATGAGCGTCACTGATCACAAGATTAGAACTTCGTTTTGTAAACGTTTACCAGCTGATATTATTAAGACGTGAGCTGAAGATGTTCAACGCCTAAAATTCACAAGGCGTCACCAATTCATTTTGAATTTCTATCATGACAACGATAAAATGTGTTCACTACTTGATAAAATCATATGAAAAACTTTAAAAATTGTCTCATTTTTCAAAATGAGTTCTTTATGTAGAAGCTGTTTAGCTTATATTTACGATTCTGTATATTTTGAAAAATGCTTCCTAGCTAGATGGAAACTACAAGGTAATCTCCATGCAACTATGAAAGCTTGAATGTTAGAAAGTAATCATATGAAAAAGCGATTTTTGTAGTAAAACGTAATCGAAAGATGGTGCACAAATTAGTACCTGTGATATGTACAGTTTGGTGTACACTCGATTTACGATCTGTTCATTTTATGAAGTAGCAACTTAAACTCAAATATGCATGAATTAGAGTGTAAATGGCTTCAGTAATTTCTGCTTCCTAATTCTAAAGGTACTATTGTTTTCGTCCTAATAATAACATTACTTGCTTACACCTGCTACCCCTTGTGAAGGGGCATAGGCAGCCCACCAGCGTTCTCCATCGAACTATGTCTGGACAATCCTTTCCAGTTGTTTCCATATGCTATTCATTCTTCTCATATGTGCCTCTGATTTCCGACGCATTGATCTGCCCATTTTCCATTTCCTTTCAGAATTTCAAGTTAGGGCCTACTTCGTGATGCAGTTTATTGATTTCTATAATGTATGTCCTATTCACCTTCAACGTCTTTTCCTAATTTCATCTATAACTAGGAGTTGGTTTGTCCTCTCCAACAGTAAACCGTTACTTATGGTTTTCAGCGAAAGGATATTGAGTATCATACGTAGACAATTGTTTATAAATACTTGTACCATTTCGATGATGGTTTTAGTAATTCTCCAAGTTTCAGTTCTTTATATTCATTTAACTGATTAGTCTAGCTATTTAAATTTTAATATAAATCATTTTAACATCCCCAAAGCAATAAATTATTATCTTCTGCCAATCACTATACTGAACTATGTTATCGGTTTATGAATAGTCATTATTCTAGGTTAAAATTAATGAATCTTCAAAACTCAATAGATAGTTTGACGATTATTATGATAATGATTATCCTTCATTCATCAACTAAACTAGGGAAATATCTAGTATGAAATATTATTACAAATCTACTCATCTCATTAATCCTTTCTTAAAAATAACTACGTTTTTAAGTTATTGAACATTAACATAGTTTAATTCTATAACATGAATAAATAGGTGTAGACAGAAGAATTGAAAGTAGAAATAATGGATCATTTACTTTACAATTTATTATGAGTTCACCAGAAAGTGTACAAAAGGGTAGGTTTAACAATTCAATTATTCCTTGTTTTAGTTTGGTAATTTTATATGATCATAACTTACTAACATGAAACAGATAGATGTATGAAAACTGTTTAATGTAACTCAATAAAAAAAAACAGTATTAATAGACACCACCTTTTAATTCTCTAGTTAAGAAAGTACGATAAACACAAAAAAAAACACCAAAAGAGATATGGTTCATAATTACCTTAGAAATAATCAATAATGAATACAAAGCTTAATTAAATCTATTAACCAAATAGTTTAAATGAAAAAAGTACAAGGTCAACTACTTGTCTATAAAAACTAAGCTCATCTTGTACAATGATACTAATTGGTATTGTGATATATGGTAGTTTAATCATGGATATCTGATCTTTTAAGAATAATTCAGCTTGAAAGAATACTGAAAAGTGTCAGTTTACATGTGTAGGTTTCTTTAACAGCAAATATGAACGAGTGCTAATAAATAGTTTACATTCTTGTCCATACATGAAGAACATGGTATGGAATTTTTGAAGTGAGTTTAAAAGATAGACAAATAGATACAAAATCTAAATAAAAATAAGAAATATACCTATCTATAGAAACACTAGATGTTAATAGCTGAAACATTTAAATGACTAGTAAATCGTACTGTGATGTGGGTTACTTATATCCACACAAGTAGTATATAACGGTGGTCAGGCATAGAATGTATTTCAGTAGAAGGTCGATGACGGAAGAACGGGAACGGAACTCAATTGGTATGAAAACGCATGAACAATGAAATCTGAGACAATGGATTGATGTTTGCAAAAGGAACAGTCAAGTTTGATATGATGGATTGATATTTTGCAAATTAACTATTTACTATATGGTTCTCAGATTTTAGTGTTAAATACATTCGAATGTCTCCACTCGTGTTCTTGTTCACTGCAATACTAGTGTTTATTTAAAGTTTCGTAAACCTCTATTTTGATGAACCCTATTTGAGTGAGAAAAATAATTTACGTACATAAGATTGTAGGAAAATATGTTCATAGAACCAAACTATGGATCAGGCAGGAAATATTTCAACACATTTCAATCTTAATACATCGACTGCTCAATATTTTCTTGTCTCTGTCATTTTATCGAAATTAGAACATTATTTAGTAAACGTTCGTAAAGAAAGAACAACAAATCTTTATTTCAAGAATAATAATTATCATATATCCTCTTCATGCGCATCATTCTTACAACTAAGCTATAGCATTACACAGTCTGTGAAAAATATGTAAATGACCAAGATATTGCTAGGTGAACCACAATCTGTTTTTGTGCCTATAATTTGAGATTAAGTTGATGAATACCCAACCTACCAATATTCGTTTTATTGAGCACTCGTAATGACGTATTTCTTTCTACAAAATAACCATTCTGAATACTACTTTCAATTATTGCGCTGATAAACAATCCAGGGTCAATAACTAGTTTCTTTCGTATCCTCTTCGTCCTTCCGACGCACATTAAGCAGCAGACACAGATAAGCAGCTAAACAAGACTGAACATAACTATAGAATCCTCTTAGCTATGTTTATTGATAAATCAAACTAGATTCTTTAAATGTGAAAAGATAGAAAATAAGAAAGTTCAATTCGTTGTTGATATTCTTATTTTGTTAAGGAAATATCAAGACAAAATTGCTCACTGGGTACGTTTAGTACAAAGACCATTATACCAAATCAAATTAAATTAGTCAAACAATCATTAAGCTTATTCCATATAGTCAATCAAATGAAATATAAGCTTGAACTATTAATTATATAAGTTATAGTAGTACAGACTAATTTAACTTTTTTATTTAATAGGATGGATAAATGAAAATATACTAATTAGTTTTATGAACACAATAGAGTGGGTATGTTCACGATTAACAACCGTTTTGAAGAAAAAGTGAGTAACTTTTTATTTATAGGTGCTAGTAATGCAACAGAACGTTTACTATGATTACTGAAATTGAAAATTCTTTTTAACTTTATTTATCCGGTAAATTTGTTTTAAATTGTTTTCAAGAACTCAGAAGTTGGTTTAAGAGTATAATTTGGATTTGTGAACTTTACAAGGTCAAATTGAGGATAGTAATAATAATAATAATAATAATAATAATAATAATAATAATAATAATAATAAGGTCGCAGTGATTGACTACTGAGTAATAACGAATGTCATGTTTAAAGCGCTGGTCAAATATATTGATCAAGTTGCATTGTAACAAATCTAAATGACTTGATGAAAACTTCGTTGATATTAGGTATTTAGAAGTGATTGGTAAGAAACCGTGAATCTAGGCTTCTCTTAGTTAGCACTTGTTAATAAAGCACACCACTAATCCGTGTGGAATTGATGCTCCCTGTGGAAGTCAAGCTCGCACAATCTGAAATATTACCATCGAATCATTCGGGTGGTGATCGACTTTATGTATGACTGAGATATTAGCACTGATTGATCAATAAGTAGTAACCAATATCATACTTACCTAGTCTCTAGTCCTAATCGCATTTCAGAGATCAAAAGGTATATATATAGTATATTGTAATAGGATCACTTGCTTTTTACTTATTTTAATAAAATTACAAAGGGGATATTCGTATAAGAGAATCCACTGCTATATTGATCGCTAGTCACAGAAATAAAACATGAAACTTACACAATACCACATCAAAATAACAGACATTCCTAACACATGATTTTCAGAATCAGTTTTCATGATAGACTGATAGTTTGGGGTTCAGAGGTGTTTAATCTCAACTATGCACTGTGTTAAACCCTAGACTTTATGTCAGTTCTTTATAAATACTATCCGAATTTGTAAAATCTTTACACAACTACCTATATATGTATATAATATCACTTCAATATATTTTTCATTAAGTGCTATCATGAAATTGTGACAAAACTGATTTCATTGTCTAGTATCTGGTTTTCGATCTCGAATTTCACATAGGAATATGGAAGACATAGCACTTTTATAAAAAGTATCCACCCGTCGAAGTCATGCTGTCTATTTGAATTTTCATTTAGGGTTACTTACTATCTTTCAATATCGATAAAATGTAGTTTTTTCCACTTTCACATTGCACCTCACAAAAGTTTAATAATGTTCCAAATGACTAAAAATCAATACAAAAATAACTAAATTTGATCGGTTTTAATCAAAATTCTAATTATGTATACATTTTTTTGCTTAATTCTAGTGAAGTATCTTATAATTATGAAAAATTACAATTCCCTCATTATTGTGAACCACAATACATTCTTTATTCAAGTTTATTAAACTTCAAAGATTTGAATTTTCTAATAAAAAATTCTTTAATTCATCGTAAAATAAATTCCTATACACAAATCAATTCCCATAATAATGAAATCATTCAAGATACTACTAACAATCCTATATTAGTAGATAAAAAAATTATTGATAATAATAATAATGGTCTCATTCTTTTATTTAAAGTTGGTTTTAATAGAATTAATGAAATTCGTATACCAATTATGAAATTATATCAAATTACATCAATGAATTCAATACCAAGTTCTTCTTTAATACAATTTTATAAAAATAATTTATTTAATATAATTGAATATGATCTAATGGACAATGTATTATTATCAACAATTACAAATGTATATATTATTAAACAAATACAATCAATCTTATCAAATATTGATTTATTACAAAATAATAATGAAAAAATCAATAAATCATCGAATATATTATTAAAATTATATTTAAAAAATTTGGCAAATGTTTTACAAACAAAAAAGAAAAATAATCACTATGCTAAACATGTACAATCTTATCCATGGTTATCATATTCTACAGATGGTACATTAATAATTCGGTAAGTTATAATGATATTTATTTGAGTAAAATAAAGTTTAACAAACGTAATAAATTATATTTCGAAGAGATTAGATAAGGTGAATTGTAGTATATATATATATAGGATCTTTCAATTCAATTTTCCAATCCATACCTGGAAACATAAATTGCCTGGTGGATGTCCAGAGTGTTACTTAATGATATACTTACGCCTGTTACTCCTAATGGAGTATAGGCCGCCGACCAGCATTCTCCAACCCACTTTGTCCACCACCTTCCTTTCTAGTTCTATTCAAGTTTCATTCATTATTCCCATGTCTGCCTCCATTTCTCGGAGTAATGTGTTCGTTGGTCTTCCTCTTCTTCTTTGACCTTGAGGATTCCATGTGAGCGATTGTCTTGTGACGCAGTTGTGTGCTTTCCTCAATGTGTGTCCTATCCACTTCCAGCGCTTCTTCCTGATTTCTTCCCCCATTGGGATCTGATTTGTTCTCTCCCACAGTAGGTTGTTGCTATTAGTGTCCGGCCAACAGATCCTAAGTATTTTGCATAGACAACTGTTAATAAACACCTGTATCTTCTGGATGACGGCTTTCGTAGTTCTCCAAGTTTCCGCCCCATACAGTAGGACCGTCTTGAACTTTTGTATTGAAAATCCTGACCTTGGTGTTGGTTGACAGTTATTTTGAGTTCCAGATGTTCTTCAGTTGTAAATATACTGCTCTTGCTTTACCGATCCGCGCTTTCACATCTGCATCAAACCCACCATGTTCATCAATCATACTGCCCAAATATGTAAAGGGTTTTACATCTTCCAAAAATTCTGCGTACAGTGTGATTCGATTAATGCATGCTGCGTTTTATTGGAGAATCTTTCTTTTTCCTTTGTACATGTTGAGATCTCCTGCTGTTGAGGCTGCTGCTACACTGGTCGTCTTCTCCTGCATTTGTTGTTGCATTTGGGATAGAAGGGCCAGATCATCTGTGAAGTCTAGATCGTCCATCTGCATCCTAGATGTCCACTGTATCCCATGCTTTCCTTCAGATGTTGACGTCTTAATGATCCAGTCGATCACCAGGAGAAAGAGGGAGGGTGAGAGTAAGCAACCTAACCTGGCACCGGTCTTTACTTCGAACGAGTCTGTCACCTGTCCTCCATACACGATTTTGTAGTTTAATCCATCATAGGAATTCTGTGTGTTATTGACTATCTTCTGAGGCACGTCGTAGTGTGGAAGAAGCTTCCATTGTGTTGTTCTGTTCACGCTATTAAGTGCTTTTTCGTAATCAATGAAGTTAGTGTAGAGTGATGAATTCCATTCAATTGATTATTCCACAATGATCCGTAGAGCTGCGATTTGGTCTGTACACGATCTATCCTTACAGAATCCTGCCTGTTGGTCTCGAAGTTGGGCGTCTACGGATTCCTTCATCCATGTCCAAAATGTTAGTGACTATTATTCATCCGTAACAAATTAGGATCCTAGTTTCCGATTGGTTGTTTAAATATTAACAAGGTCAAGTATGTAGAAATGATTGAAAAAGTTTTAGATCGAATTTTTCTCAGACAAATACCTAAGATTTAACAACCACTTGATCAGTTATGTATTCAAATTTATGTTGCTATGTTTAATTTTCGTTAACGTGAATAATGTAATTTCATATAACTAATTTTAAAAATTTTTTTGAATTAGTCTGTTTTGTAACCAACATCAATCTGTTTTGCGACAACGATAAAAGACAGCAGATAAAGGACAAAAACACTGTTTTCAATAATTTGGAGAGGGAAGCAGTTAAAATAGTTTTGAAGTTAAACTTAACATTCGTTGACAGTTTACAGCAATGATTGTTTATAACCTTTGGGAAATACACGACAGCTCGATAGTGAATAACTTGTTCATCCCTGTTTACATCAGCAGATTTCATTCTTGAACCCCTTGGTCTGGTAATGATGTTCTGTGGGGCTTAAAGTCAAACAAAGTGATTATCTGAAAGTTACCAATTTGCTCTTCATCAAAATTTAAATTAACAACCAACTATTACTTGTTTCCACAACCCTTACACCATTCGCCATTTACGAGTTCGCATTCTTGATGTATAAACTTTTTAATACACTTTTGGCTTATGTATTATAAAAGATGGCAAGAGAAAGGTAGTAGAATTTATAGTATTTTCTGGTTAACAAATCACATACCACTAATGCTTTTACACTATTTAGATGTAATCTAAGTATCCGCCTACCTAATTTTCAGCAATAACAACGTTTATTAAATCATGGATATTGTTTGATTCGTAAAGTTAAGGTTTTTAAAATTTAAGAGAAATGATGATTCAAGGAATAGAAAATCAATATAATTTGATTTTCGCTGAAAATTACTTGGTTTGATCACATCATCAGAGATTTAAATAGAACACGGCAGCATAGTTCCATTTTCGAGGTTCATTACACATATACTGAACCATTGCAACCATTTTACCTATGTGTTAGTACTTCCGTACTTAAAATAGATAAACTAATGTGCATTTGATAGAAATATGTTTATCCTAGTGGTATAATATTGTTCTTTATTTGAAATCCTGTAACTCTCTGCTTAGTTACACATGTTTTATTTTCGTTTTTGTTTATTACAACATTTAGTCGGCTTGATATTCTTCTTTCTTTGTACTTTTGCACTATTTAACAATTCATGCCTCTGAATATTTGTATATAAGTTTCTATTGTTTCATATGCTCGACTTTTTGAAGCGTCAGTTAGCTGCTTATCAAATCTAAGGCTTTACTGCTCCACTACTGAGTAGTTATCATTGAGAGAAACTTTATTTAACAAGGAACACATTTTGAATATTAACCGTTATACACAAATAAACTAGACCATCATATCTATTTGCTTGATCATGTTCATGAATATCTAGTAAATACCTTTCTACTTATTATTTGTACGATCATACAGGTATCCTTGTGGTTCACCAGCCATTATATGGTCATCAAGTCCCTTAATGTATCACAAAGCATGTGAAAATCTCGATAATTCCGATTCATCTTCAGTAAATAAAGGGAAAGTAAATAAAGCAAGTAAACCTAAACAATTTCTTCATAGTTCATCTACATCTTTACAAAAATCAATCACAAACATTACTATTACTACTGATTCCACTACAACCAATAATAGTAGTGGTATACCAATGTTAGGAATGCGGAATGTTCAACATCGAACAGGATTTTATTTATCGATTTTTGATATTCCTCGGGTGTTATCGCATAAGTCAGAAGTTGATACGGCCATTGATAAAGTTGATAACAAATATAACTCACACATTTCTAAATCATCATCAACAACAACAGATAATGAAATATCGACAAACAATGGGAAAGATAATTGTTTCAGTACCGAATTAATTCAGAAGTCTAGAAATACTGCTAGAAAACTAGATTCTGTTAGAGAAAATATATCTAGTAGTTGTAGTATGAATAGTGGCAGTAATTTTTCCGAATTTTATCCTGAACAAACTAAATTCAATGACAGTCTGCAAAATGAAGACGTTGATGATAAAAAGTTTAACATAGGTCCATTGATTGCACATTTTACACCGTCTGGAGATGGTGTTATATATTATCCTCATAATATTAATAATAATAAAACAACAATATCTGATAGCACTGACCACATAAATAACCTTCAGCCAGCCAATATTCACGCCATTTTTACAAAAGAATATTGTTATGTGTTTAAGAATTCTAACGGAGAATTAGAATATGAATTTCCATCTTTCACAGAAAAAAGTCGACATGATCCAACAACAAGATATCCAGTTTCATTAGATATAAATTTTAACCATTACATTAGATTAGTTCGTACGAACTCTCATGATTTGACAATAATATTTAAGACAGAAGAGGATGTGCTACTTACTATTGATTGTTTTCAAAACCTCTACTCAAATGATTATCGTGAATGTGATACGTATGATCACCCAATGAATTTTGAGGATGAGTCAAAACAACACAAACAGGTAAATGATCTTATTATGAGTTTGTATGTATGGAACAAAACTTCGAAACTAGTATTGTTCAATTTAAAGTAAAACGAAGTTGTAGTTTTTGTCACTGTTGATATCATTGTTAGTTGAAATGGGTGAATGCTACCTCCTAGCTCTTTGGTTATTGAGTTTATATGAGGTTGAACAAATTTAAAATGTTTGACATCAATTAAAGGAATTAGAAGCTATTGCAATTTAATTTAGGAGTCCCTAGTTGCGCAAACCAATTATCCTATACTAGATCCAACTGAAAGGTTTCACGTTATTTAATGACTGTGTTATCACTCCGTTATGGGACAAGATTTCCAACTTAATTTTGGTAGTGGTGTTATATATTCAACATTAATTACTTTCAATGTATATCAATCGTGCTATTTCGCAAATTATCTGGAAACATAGTGGTGTACTATCAGATATCTACCCGATTATTAAACATCTGACAACAAGTAAACCATTACATCACTTGATCCAACGTTACTGAAGTGCCTAGTTCAGTCTGCTACGGATAGCTATCTCATGTAATAAATAGATGAACTGGCATCTTATTCATCTTTTCCTGCATGTCTATGTGCCAAATGCGCGCTTATTATCAATCCTTATTTTATAGACTATACTCCTGATACATAAAATTAATTATACTGTTAAGCGTTTTTATACTATAAACATGAAAAAATAACAGCTAGAAAAAAGGTTAAACATTTGAAGTAGAATTGAGAAACGACAAAATATTCTGATTATTTGTCAGGGATCGAACCATGAGATTCCAAGTATAACAAAATACAATTCTAACTCCTGTAACATGAAGTTTTAATATAAACTTTTGACTTAATATATATACGCTTGTATTGACTCATTCCGTAAATTTAATTCATACAAATAATATATTTTTTTGATAGAGACGTGAGTGGTTTGGTATCACTTAGAGTTATGTATTGTAATTAAATGATACACCGTAAAAACTGAAAACTTTATAAACAGATGGAATTCCAACTCTAAAACTCGAGTGAAATTCATCGATGTGTGTTCTTTATTAAGTCCTAAAATGAATTAGAAGATCATAAATCTAATTTTCAGTGATCAGTGATAACGAAAATTAATTAACTAGATGAAAGGTAAAAATTAGTTCTTCTATTCTTCTAATGAGGATGTTTCAACTGATATTATGGGTTAGATATGCATTAAATATCTTCTGAATTGATGAAATTAGGGACAGAAATAACTCTGTGAACTGGATTTTCATTTCAGATAACACTAAAATCTCCATGTATTGTATCAATGCTTAAATTTCTTTTTCCACTGAAATTAAGTTAATACGGAGGACTATGGTAAGTGTAAACTTTCGAAGGTTGTAAAAATTACTAAGATGAAATGTGTAGTGGCATTGGACCATAACCACACAATCTTCAAAGCTGAACACAAGACTACTCAGAAAATATATTTAATATTTAACGCGGAGCAATACCTAACGATGGAAAAGGCGGGAACAGTTAATTGGATGAATTGGAGTTGATCGAATGGCATGGCTCGGCCATGCAGGCGTGGTCCCTGCTGAATATTACCTTATATCTTTTATTCATACTAAATATATTGTTCTTCTCTAGCCTAAGCTTGTTCTTCATCATGTATTGGTAGTTGTTACGATACATTGAGTTGGTGTAGACGATTATGTGACTTCCACGTAAGATCTTATAGATTAGGCAGTTATATCATGACAAATCTACAATTTTAGGATTAGGTCTACTATTAGAGCAGTACTAATATCATAGTAAACCATAATTCTACAAATGTATTTAGACAATTATTCAAGGTGGACAATTTTTCTAAAATCATAATAAGTTTATTCTCAACCACATCGGTGTTACTGGAACAATTGATGATAGGATTAGTTCTCCATACTACTTGCTAGTTGTAGATAGTAAGTTCGAATTATACAAATAAACAATATTGTGTAAAACAGTAATCAATAAATAACGAAAATAATTTTGTTGAAGAATGACGACTTTCGATGAAAGAAAGCATAAACGAAAACAGCACTAAAGCTAGCACACTCCAGGTAATTGGCTTACCGTCTTACCAATTCACCAGCAAAATCTAATCCCCTATAAGATATCGGCGTCACTTTAGTCAAAAAGAGTTTCTAAATAAAGAAACTTGGCGCAAAATTGTTTATTTTATCAAATTTTTAAGTTTAGCAGGTATCCATTATTACCATTCAGATTGATGACTCTTCAGTCACTAGCGAATCTTTTTGTAGAGTAAGTCCTGAAATGTTTATACAGTTTGTAGAGATTAACGAAATATTATGAAAGTATGTACTTACTGGAAAAATAAAGTGATCATCATAATATATTGAAATTTGGAATAGAATTTATAATACGAAAACTTATATTGATCAGTTAATTGAAAAATTCGATGGTACATACAAACCATTAACATCAGTGTGGGTTCATTCACCCTTTTTCTTACCTTAGATCCTGAGTCGTGAATTCTGTTGATACGTTTTATTCTTTCTCTGTTTAAGCTTTTCTTCTACTATTACTACTGACATGGTTACTACAGTACAAGTTTTGAATTAGTCTCCAGAATTTTGTTGCTCTCCTCTAATGTATAATGCCAGGTTCCATGTTGTATATAACTGACAGCTGGTGATGAAATTTATACCTTACTATATATTTATATTTTGCTGTTTTTTTTTAAGTGAACACAAGTTTATCTTGTTTTTTTCTCCCTTTTTATCTATTTTTAAATCATTACTATTTTATAATAGCAGTTCGTTTTATCTAAATTACCATTTTTGAGTTCAGTTGTCGATAATACAAATCAAAACAAACAATTATTGATAAGCAGAAAACGGAAAGAAGTAAGTAACTATTCATTAACAAATTTAAAAGAAATGCTAACTAAATTAATATCCTTTTTAATTATGTTTATGAACATGAATTATTTTCATATCATTAAATTAACACACATTATTGATCATGGTAGGCTCAGGATAGAGTGGGTTGGAGAATGCTGATCGGCGACCTATTCTCCATTGGGAGTAACAGATGTAAGTAAGTAAAAATTGATCATGGTAGTTAAAATGATTTTAGACCATTGAAACTAAAGTTGTAGACTAGTGGATTCTAATATACTTTAGTTCTTGAAGTTTATCCAACCGATATTAGTTCATGTTGTAAATCAATCTCAAATTGAACAATATTTACAAATTCTTTATTAACCACTATGCAAAATTGATTTGATCAATACGAAGTAATGTACACTTGAACATTGAGTGTTATCCTGTGATTGATTAGTTTACTTTATCTATTTATACTAGTTAACCAAAGCACAAACCAATCAGTAGGTAGCATTTCTGATTAGCCTACTGAATTAAGTGGGAGTAAATCTCTCCGCCTGTGGTCCTACTTGTGTTAATACCGGTTTGAAACCCGGATAAACGAGGAAGGTTGGGCTGCGGAAATAAGAAGACATAACTTGGCAGTGGTTGGAATAAGCGAGATCCATTGGATTCAAACTGAAAAGAAAACGTGAACTTCGGTGGAGGCGAAATTGTACTTTGGCCATGAAAAAGAAAATGCCTCCCACACACAAGGAATTCCACTGATGCTGTCCAAAGAAACACTAAAATCACTTATAGGATGGGAATCTCATGGGTCTAGGATAATCAAAGCATTATTCGAAACAGAGAAAGATGGAATCACAATGAATATTGTCCAGTGTTATGCACCCACCAGTGATAGCAATAAAGACGTTAAGGACCACTTTTAGAGAGGCTGCAATCGATCATAGAGAGGTTCCTGGAAAGTGACCCGACTATCATCATCATAGGAGAAGTAAACGCCAAAGTTGTAAATGGACAACACCAGATATGAAAATATCATGGGATGGCATGGACTGACTGGGAGGAAGGAACGAGAATGGTGAGAGGTTTTCAAATCTATGTGCATTCAACAAATTGGTTACAGGTGGCACAATATTTTCACACAAACGCATACACAAAGCTACATGAGTCCCACCGGATCACACCATAAAGAACTAGATGGATCATATTTGCATCAGTAAAAAATTCACAAGGTCAATGGAAGGCCTGAAAACCGGAAGATGAGCTTCAAATCACTGCCTGAATGTTGCCAAGGTGAAACTGAGGCTAAAAAAACACTGGACAGCTGGAGAAACAGCAGTACAAAGGTTTAATACAGCTTTCCTTCGAGATGCTGACAAATCTAACGAGTTGAAAATAATTCTCAACAACAGGTTCCAAACCTTACAGGATCTACTGAAAGAAGAAACCACTATGGAGGACAATACGGAAGGAATAAAAGAAGCACTGACTTCATCATTCCAGGAAGTACTGGGTTCCTGGACAAGATTCAAGAAAAGGAAAACTGGAAGACAACAAGTAACAAGACTCAAACAAGAGCATAGAAAGTCATCGGTTAAGTATTAAGGAGTCTAAAAACACTATCTGTACTACTTATTTTGAAACTCTTCATCTTTATTTATGAAAAGCCACCTAAAATATAGTTATATGAGTCTATTGCTAACAAGATATATTGATTTTGAGTTCCATTTAAAGATTTACGTTTTTATTAATTTATCATTACAAATTAGCCGTAAATAGTTCGGACCATAATAGATTTTGATTAAGCGCTAACCAATAATAATAATCGCAATAATAATAATAATAATAACCGATAATCAGCCTAAGTTGTGTTAAATCACTTTCCTCAGGTGGATAAAATCTATGCACGAAGTAAATGACCTATTTTCAGACTTTGTTTTCCAGCATAATAGTCTTGGAGTATCATCTTTTGGTTAATAAATTCGGGATTCTTATCGAGATTTCTCAACAGATTACAATGTTGGATAGGTATAATAAAAATGGATACCTTCGGGAAGTGTCAGTAGTGTTCGTTATTTCAAATGATAACTCATTATAGGTATCCAAATAACCATATGAATTCGAGTGAACACACCTTATCAACATGGTATACTTTTCCTGTTTTCTTGTAATCTGGGAACGTTAATTAATATAGTTTAAAATTTCTTGAATCAAGCTTTCAAGACCTATTGCTTGAGGTTGTGTAAAATTTATACAAGCTTTGGTTAGCATTTGAGGATCTTTTAACAGTGTTTGTGACGAGCGAATGATGTTTAAGAGAAACCCGGTTGAGCTGCCCAATGGATTATTTAGTTCCTCATCTTAACTATGACTACAGAGTTAATCAATATCACATGATTTTTGAGAGGTAGTATTAGTGATATTGTAAATCTCACTGAAAAATGTTTGTAGATCTTTACTTAACATGAAATATCACTTTTAAACGATAAAACAAGGATAAATGTTCATATTACAGCGAATAAACAACATTTAGTTTAATATAGTATAGATGTCTACGCAGTGTGGCTTAAACTGCCGATGAGAATCGCTTTTTGTAGAATTAGGAAATTTATACTTATTCTGTGTATATAACAATTTCTGCATAAATAAAAGCTTTTTAATACGGAGTATAATTTAGTGAAAACCATTTGGTTATATCAGGACCTTGATTTAGTTTTTAGTTCAACTGATAACCAAAATGTATCTACCAACCACAACTATTTGTCTGATTATTGATTTTTATTGCACACATGTAACTAACGTCGTAAGCATCAATATTGATCAACTTTTATGTGAGTGATTATCTTATGATGCAGTATGATCATAGCATGCATCCAATGAAATAAGCATAAGGCTCTATTTTTAGTAAATAAAATGGAAACCAATCTTAAAAAGTTATTAGTTCAAAGATCAATTCAAAATATAAAGATAGTTTTGACTTTTGATTGGAATTAATTAGCTTGAAATTAGTCCACGAACAAGATGCAGTTGGGGAATATTTTTCATTTGTTTGAAGTGTCATATCAATGCTTACTTATAACCTATAAAGGAACTTACAGGTTTCTCAAATAGATTGACATTAATCGGCTATTTATTTTTAAATTCAATGTTTTTTTATTTCATAACTCCAATTGACTCACGATATATTGGTGCTGTCAGCTAATTTAGTCGGTAGTTTCAGAAAGATTCTAAGGCTGGGCTCTTCGGGTTGAAGAGAGAGGTTGATTGGGGTCGTTTTGTGCCAAATACGGACACTAAAAGGTCAGGGTGTATACGCGATATTAAATTTATAATAGTTTTACCACAAGTTATGGAATTTCACCAGGCTACCTAGGTACAGGAAATATTTGTGTCCGCGAAATATCTTGTTAGAATGTTTTCATATCGAGGTAGGTAGATATCATGCTAGAACAATTTTAGCTGCTGTATTGTATCCATAAATTGATTATATGAAATGTATACCTGAGTCACACTTTGGTTGCTATAAAATGATCACATGTGCGCTTATTAATCTTCGTCTTGACTGGAGGGCCTAATTTTTGTCGCTTACTGATTTTCCTTACGACTCTAGGTGAATGGATTTTCAAAATAATTTTCTAAGTCGTTTGATTAGTGTTTAATGATACATTTCCTGAAGTTACTTCAAAACAATACTTAGTAAATCACAGAGTTAGTGTGGTACTATGTAGTGACTAAGGTTAAACGAAGTTTATATAAATATTTTATTCATACTATATAACATGCTAGCAATGTAGTAAATGGTTGGATACTGATCAAAAAGTCAGTAATGTAGAAGTAGAATACATGTCATTATTATTATTATTAATCAAGATAAATGTTTTGTCATATACAATGAAGCGCTCACAATAATCTCATTATGATAATATCTATGAGATTAGTTTGTAAGTTTAAAGATCTGATATCTTATTCAACTAAATAGAATAAAATAAAAGTTTCCCTTATCTATTAATTTCTATTCGATGAAGGTTATATGTTATCTGTAGATAGTCAGTGGTTGGATTAATAAAAGAATCATTCTTATTGTATTTAAACATTTTTGTTGATTATAACAGTATCATGAGGATTAGATAAGTCTATTTATGCATAAGATATTGATGTTAGGTGTTTTTTAAAAAAATGAAACGAATGAAAAAATGCACTTGATATGGATAGTGGCTAGCAGTGGCTAGCCATCTTTGCTTATAGTGCTTGTAAATTAAGGCAATATCGAGGCATACGCACAGTATGCACATATGCCAATAAGAAACTGATCAATTTCAGTCCAAAAACATCAATGGGAAGATTCAAGTAAAACAATACCACAGAGGAAGTAAACTTCACCCCATTGCACAAGCAGGTGGCTATCAGGACTCAGTAGCTAAGTGGATAACGCGATGGCGTTTGAAGCGAAAGGTACTGAGTTTGAGTCCCAGAGTGAACATCAACTCTGAGATGCAGGTACATCCAGCTAACGAGTCCTAAATAAGACGAAACGCTCGTCCTAGATTCCACTGCTAGACACTATCCATCTTTTCTTAGAATGAAATAATGGTTTTGATTCATTCAAATGCATGAAAGAAGACAGGAAAGAATGAAAATATGGGTACGAACGTCACTAGGACGAATTATTTTTAATGATTGGATATTAAATGCTTAATGTATATAGATTATGTAATAAGTTTATGGTTTACCAAAGTATAATTAAAGAAACAAATAATATGTACCCGTTTAATTGGTATGTTAGTGAAATTGTAAAATTATTCCGGTTGTGTTTTAAATGAAATCAATTCCAAACATCTACGAGCCTAACTGAAAGAAAAATTGGTTACTTCAAATTCTTGCCTACTCAGTTTGTTTTTGGAATTATAGCTATTTTTAGTAAGATTACCCCCCCCACCGCGCGTTTAGACGTTTTATACTGAAAGTTAAATGTATTGTTAAAAAATTGTTTTATGTTAACGTGAAATTTACAAATCAGGATTTACAACAACAATGTTAAGCATCAGTTCAAGAGTATGTAAACATAATTTCATGTTAAATTCTAATCGAATAACCAATGCGTTCAGTGAATAAATTTAATTCTCGTATTATTATTAGTGGCTTTATTCAATGTTATTGTTGTGGATGTGAAGGATAGACCAATAATTATCATGTTAAGTTCAATGGTGTCCTTGGACTTTAAATGGACATTTCCTACTGGTCGATATCTGTCCACTTGTTGAATATTGTACAAAATGTTGTTTTCTATTTTTATGGTACGATGTGGTATGTTTAGTTAGTATATAAATAGAGTATATCTGAAATACAATGATTCATAACTCAGAGGCTGAGATTTGTGTTCTGGACTCAACTGGCTGGGATAGACAGGGAATCGGGACCAATCGTAACTCTAGGTCGTCCATTACGTTCGTACGTGTTTACGTGTCATTGAATCGGTCGATAAATACGCTGCTCTCTAGTTGTTCACAGTCAAGAACACAACAATTAGCACAGGGTAAAAATCAACCACAACTTAAAGTCACAACATTTATACTTTTTGGTACAATATAGAATTCGCAGCACAAAGTATTTTAACAAGTTTTCTTTTACTTATTTCTTGATCGACCCTTTCGATAAATATTGACTGATCTCCAGTTAAATGTTATTAATTCAAGAATAGACATCTGATTAATGTCTATTCTTTTCGATGCATATTGCCAGCAACTATGATGTTGTTTAGCGAATTGTTGTAAACTTTTAACAAACACACCTGAATAAGTTACGCTAATAATAGGCATAATGATATGTTAAAACAAACAAGAAAATAGATGACATGTTGAAATATTCAGATGGCAGGAACAGCTAACCGCCTTGGTTATAGATATGTATATATTTAAATTAAAAATGAACATCAAATAATTTAACATTAGCCATTAACCTGGATTTTTAAGCTTTAATTAAAATTTAAAAGAAAAAGAAAGTAAGAGTTTTATGGAAGATTTTCTTTTCTAGTAAAGCATGATAAATTATACTATAAATGCAAATGGATAACAGCTGTTAAAATGTAGAATTAGTACTCCGGATTCTTTTTAAATAGTCAATTCTATTACATTATTATCTAAGTGTAGTTTTTACATTTTCTATTCATTACTACTATATATTTTAAGATTAATTATTTTAAAGTCTAATTCATTACACATTTCTTTAAACTGAAGTAGATATCTGTAGTTTTAATATTTTGTTGTAGTGTAATTGAAAATTATATACAATTTAACTCAAAGTATGTTAGTTATTAAAAAAACACTTAAATTGTGATTGACTTTTGATCATCATATTTATTTCTTGTTCATATTTTTTTTCACGGAACTAATATTTTACATAAAGATCCCATCAATGAACTTCGTGTTTTTGAATGATTGACATTTTAAAAGAGACGAACATAGTACATTAACTCACTAATCTAATTAAAGTAAACATAGTTCACTAAATGAAATGTGTGTAACCCAAGTCTAGAATGCACGTTCCTTCCTGTTTGAAACTTATAATCTAGATGTACTTGCATCCTAAAGTTCATATTCACTCCATGACTTAAACTCAGTATTGTTTGCTCCAAATTCTAATGCGTCATACACTTAATTACTGAGTCCAGATATAAATATGAATGTTTGTTACTTTTTATATAGTAAACGAAAATCATCTGTATATAAATCCTTTTACAAAAATAAAATATTTCTAAAATTTCAATTCCAAAGAACATTTAAGCCACAGAGAAGACCTCAAAATAATCTTGCAGAACTGTAAAATCTATTGATCAAACCAGCAATGGATGTACACGTTATTTTCGACAACCATCATATCGATTTATTCGAATTTATCAAGTCAAATCTTGATGCTAATAATTGTAACAATAATAGTTTTTCTACAGAGATTTAAAACCTGTCTTGAGGTTCATTCACACAGTCACACTAAAGACTTATCTATCACCATTTTTCTATAAGTCGATTATAGTCTGCTTTAATTCTCAGAATTCCGTTCTGTTTTACTTTACAGCAGTGAAACATGGCCTTTAAGAGTAGAAGACACCCGTAAGCTACTAGTATTTGACTACAGATGCCTAAGAAATATTGCTGGCGTCTGCTGGGATAACCGGATAAGTAATAGTGAGGTTAGACGCAGGGTATTAGGAAAGGATGGTAAATCAGTTGATGAGGTTATGAATCTTCATCGACTGAGATGGTTGGGCCACGTGTTACGTATGCCTGAACACCGATTACCACGACGTGCAATGCTATCCGGTATTGGAAATGGTTGGAAGAAAGTTAGGGGCGGCCAAACCAAGACGTGGCATCAGTGCTTGAAGTCACTAACTTCTAGTCTGAGCCATGTTGGTAGATGCAGACTACTTGGTTGGGGTCCGCGTGACTTTCGTAACCAATGGTTGGAGACTCTTGGTGACATAGATCAGAATCGATCACAATGGCGTCGGTGCATACACTCGGTGTCTTCCCTTAAACTAAGAGATTAAAATCGCTTCATATCTTTCTTTCTACGAACTAATTCTATATTCCGGTACTGTATCCTTATATGCTATCTTTCTCCTATATATTACCACCTTTAACCTAACCACTCTTATGAATCCAGTGTTCATCTTGCTGTGCTAATGAGATATAGCAACCTGGACCGATGCATATATGTGCCTGGTCCTACGTTGTAGCTGACTGACTGACTGAATTCTCAGAATAAGGTTTTTATGATAGTACCTAATTGAATAATTTCATGGTCTTATTTAAGGTGTGTGATAATATATTATTCATTACTGTTAATCAGTATTGAATACTAACTCTACTTTCCTTCACTAATGTACGAAATTCAAAGAATTTAACATTTATTTAAATAATAAATATACACTCATGAGAATATGGATGATTTATTCTCATATTCTGAAGAACGTATTCAATTATGATAAACTAAAGTGTAAAGCACATGTAAAAAGTACTTCAGAAATGACCTGATTTTGCTAATACTTTATGAATAGAATATGAAGCCAATGAACTATTCATCTATTAATATTAGTAGTTTTTATAGCTATAATAATAATAATAATGGTTTTCTTGCAGGTGTAAACGGTTTATTGAAAATAAGTGCATATTAAGTGTTTGATAGCTCCAGGAATTATAATACTCAAGAAATGAATGGTCAAATCGAAAGCTTAATCAGTGACCACTTAAAACTCGACAAAATAACTTATTCAGCTTCAAAGTTTTCAAGTATGGTAGACGAATATTTGATTTAGACTTAGTATTAATAAACACAACATTTAGGCTTAATCCTGTCATTAGGGACAAATTGTTTTCAATGAGTATCTTGGATTTTTATGAAATTTAAACAAACCGTAAATACGTAATTATATTAATCACTATACTTTATTTGTTAGGAAAGTTTACAAAAGTTATTCAAGAATATTCCACCAAATGATGATTTACAATCACTTTCAAGGCATCTCACTGAGTCGATGAAACAGATAAGGTTAGTCTGTTTACTGCACTTATTTTTTTTAGAAATTCAGTATTAGAAGGGGTTTTGAGGAGATTTTAATAATTTCAATAGTCGAGATTATGAGTTAATTGAAGCTAGACCACAATTGAAAACCTGGAAGCACTGGACGACCGTTTCGTCCTATTGTGAGACTCACTGATGACAATGGTGGATGTGTCGCTCAATTTTGTGGATTAGTTGAAATTAGACATTAACACCATTGGATGCCGGCCAGCACAGTGGTCTAGTAGTTAAGCGCTCGTGTGCGAAACTGATAGGTTCTAGGTTCAAATCCTGCGAGGCGGGGTCATGGATGTGCACCGTCGAGGAGTCCCACAGTAGGACAAAGCGGCCGTTCGGTGCTTCCAGGTTTTCCATAGTGATCTAGCTTCAATTGACTCATGATCTCAACTACTGAAATTCAGTATTCCAAAGATTTAGAGGATGTAATCTATTTTTATTTTGTTTAATCACTTGAGATAACTTTATACATATATACTTGAAAATGAGAACAAGTACTTCCAAATTATTTTTTCTGGTTAGTGTTTTTTAGTGAGTTAGTTTTCTATGGGATGAGGTCGCTAACCCCATGCCCAACCCTCCTCTTTTTTATGGGCTTTGGACCGGCAGTAGTCCCAGAAAAGACCCAGGCAGAGTTGAAAACAAATAGTGTTATAATCAACTTGTTTAAAATCAAGAAGAGTAGTTATTCTCACTCAAACCTATGAGATGAAAATTTGATGACTTAACTAGATTCGTTGGCAATCAGATACTGAGAGAGGTTATTCTTTATAATGAGGAGTTAATAAAGTTTAAAAAATCAGGTCGTGTCAGATGTTACGCTGTCTGCTGTAATCCATTTCATTATAACTTTTCATAGGCTTTCTTCTGTAGTGTTATGTTCCCTGAAGTGAATGATTTAATAGCTAACCTTTTATAGTTATTCAGGACAACAATGCCATCTAATTCACTACTATTCACTCTCTCTCTCACGATTAAGCTAACACTGTGTTTTAACTGCAGGACTTTAATACTATGAGTAAAAATGGCTAATACAATTTATATTATTTGTCTGAACAGAACCAAAGTGTAACTAAAATTCATTATAAGATTTGCCAGGATATCTAGATATCGATTAAGGTATCTATTATCAGAAAGGGGTTTTGTGGATATTATGGTAATTTAATAGTAGAATTCATGAGTCAATGGAAGCTAGCCTACCATGGAAAATCGGGAAGCACTAGACGATCGTCTTATCCTAATGTGAGACCGATAGGTCTTGGGTTCGAATCCTGCGGGGAGAGATCAAGGATATGCACTAATGAGGGGTCCAACACTAGGTAGAACCGGCCGTCCAGTGTTTCCAGGTTTTCCATGGTGGTCTAGCTTCAAATGATTCGTGAAATCAACTATTAAATCAAGGTATCTATGCTTGGTCCCATTCTGAATACATGAATAAATGCACGCATGCACATGTGCTTATGTATTTTCCTTGTAAACTTCAAATTTTGTGATTCCTCAAATCACTTGACAAGTGTATCTATATATTGCTGTAGTGTGCTAATGGTTTTATATTCAGTATTCCGTTAATAAAATTGAATTGTTACGGGATACGTTTACTGATATACAAATATTACAAACCAAAATTAGATAAAAATGTTAAATGATAGCAAGAGTTTACAAAGAGTATACCTTGAATAGTTTAGATCACAAAATGTACTTATGCAAAGTATATTCAACTAACTACGTCATCAATGTATTTCTAAATTCTACAAACTATGAATTTAGGAATGATAGTAATTGTATGGGAATAATGTATCCTTATATTTAATAACTATGAATTTACTAGTTTAATCCTTATACCTATTCACAGATTTCGTTGTAACCAATGGCTGGAGATAATGCGACACTGCCTAGGTCTTCAGAGACAACGTATTTCATCACCACAAAGTGCACACCAGTTAATTCGATACAGAGTATGTTTATGATAAACATATCACTAATTTGATAACTCATTATATTTCTTGTATTGAAGCAAAGTGAACTTCACGGTAGTAGCTTGATTTATATTTGATAACTTAGTTATAAAAATTACACTAATTAATTCAGTAGTTTGATATTTCCAAGTTTAAACAGAATCTTTGTTTATAATGAAGTACTAAGACAGATGAATATACCAAGTACCTTTTAGTATTGAACGATATCCAGCAGAAATTCATTTAAAAGACTTAAAATGTATGAAAATGTTTATTGTATATTATAATGTAATAAAAGGAGACCAGATAACATAACTAGAAGACACGTAAACTAAACTCATTTTACACAAACTTTCACCAGTTACAAATAAAAATAATATATTTGTAATATCCCAATGAGTAGAAAATTGGATTTTCTGACGTTTCGTGACTTAGTGTAAGTCACTTCTTCAAAGAACAAATAACCAAAAAATTTGGTTATTTGTTCTCTGAAGAAGTGACTTACACTAAGTCACGAAACGTCAGAAAATCCAATTTTCTACTCATTGGGATATTACAAATATATTATTTTTATTTATAACAATGAACCCAATGCTCAATTTATTCGAAATTATCAAATCAAACCTTGGTAATGACACCTATTTCACCAGTTACATTCAATCACTAAATTTACTTCATAAAATGTATTGACTCATTTAAGTTATTGACCAGATCGGAAAGTTGATTGACAAAATCTGTTCATCTTTCAAGACTAGACAATACTGACTTTTCACTGGATTATTCCAAAAGAACTACCGTATTTACCCCCATAAAAACTCACTGTAAACTAAACGATCTTCAGGTATCTCTTACTTTGATGATAATTAAGTTCTGATTGGTGACTAGCTTCAAGGATTTTTAGTGTAAAACTGTGACTGAAATAGTTCATCTATGTTAGAAATGGTCTCATTGTATCACGAAATCAATAAACTTAGAAATGTTGACCATTGTTTGTCAATTCAGAGGTACATGGCTGCAATTTTCACCACGACGTCTAGCGTTCCTAGGTTTGATCCACAGAGCAAATAGCCATTCTCACTATCACGAAGTCCTAATTTAAAAAGGAGCAACTTACCAATGTACTTTAGTCCTTATGCATCCTTCAACTAAAGTTATCTCGTAATGAAAACAAACTACTATTGGTTTTAAGTTCCAAAAATTTGATAATCTCATTAAAATTGTTTATTGTTGTAAAATATGTTTTTCAGAGTCTGGACTATATGACAAAACGATATGGAACATTTACAAGTGTATCATCTACTAACCGAGCAAGTGATTATAACTCATTGGTTCACTCTGATAAACTTACTTGTAACTCATTCGGACAGAAATCGATAAGGTTATCGAAGTCCAATTCAGCAAGGAATATCAACAAAATACCTTTTAAAAAAGAATATCCGGATACACTCCCTACAAATGACAAGAATAAAGAGTAAGTGTCACTGAAATAAATTTGGGCTTAAATGATATATTGGTAAGTAGAAAAAGAGATCAGTGGTAATTTGTTACATAATTGACTGATTTTCTGTACTGTAAATTCTTCGCAAGTATTTTACTCATTTCATTTATACATTTAAACTGTGAAAAATAGAGAGCAGATTTTATTGTTAAAAGACGGTTACGATTGCATTTTATCAGTTGATTAACTAATCGCTAAGCTGGCCTTTAATTAGAGGAAATAGCTAACGGTTGAGATTCTGTTTGTACTTTCTTAACATTTTTTCAGCTGGATTACTTTATCACTATCAAAACGTTAGCATTAATTGACCGATATCAATTGGACTGAACCTTTATGCCATTTCAGAACTGTAAATCAAATGGTGTATACTTGGGCTTGTGAAAAAAATTGTTTGAAGCTACAAGTTGGCAAAATATAGATATGAAAGAACAGTGACATTCAGATGAGCTATAGAGTAGGGAAGATTTTCAGCTCAAAATAATTTTCGTGGTGTTTCGTTCTCTGTGCTGGATGGTTTGATAGTGAAGCTTTCATTGTTTTTCTGAACAACATCAGCACAAACTTCAGGTAGAATTAGGGTAATCTTGGTAATAATAACTTTAGTAAATACACATACGTATACGTTTTCGAATTCAAATTTCCAGTAGTACAAAATTATTGTTGTTGCAAACAAAATATTCGTTTCACAGTTATGCTAAGTGTTTATTCGGTAGCTAGAGCGCCATTAATTGACAATTCACAGGTCTGAACCCTGATTCATTTACCCTGGTTTTTGGCAACCGGATAACTATCATTTACACCAAATGAATTTGCTACTAGACTATCATAAATAGCCATTATCGAGCATTTTTCATAGAATTATGCCCTTAAAATTTTTAATACATGCATGAATCAACAAAGTGATAAGAAGTAACTTAACAGTTGATTCTTTTCCGTCGAATTTCTAGGGTTCTGCTATAAAGTATTAAAATCGATTAAATAATTAAGTGCAGGCTTTCTCGAGGACAGTAAGTCATATTTATTAGGTGAGTACTAGAGGTAATACCTGACAGTTAAAAACGGAGTAGATGAAATAAAGCTGTAAACTAATATTTTACACCAAAATCATGGTTAAGGCATTTTAGAGCAAATTACTTACTTACTTACTTACACCTGTTACTTTTCTTGAAGGAGCATAGGCCGCTCACCAGCATTCTCCTTCCAACCCTGTCCTGGGCAATCCTTTCTACCTCCGTCCAGTTGTAATTCATCGTTTTCATATCTGCTTCTATTATCCGACGCAATGTGTTCTTTGGCCTTCCTCTTTTTCGCTTCCCTTCAGGATTCCAAGTTAGGGCTTGCCTCGTGATGCAGTTTGACGATTTGCGTAATGTATGTCCTATCCATTTCCATCGTCTTTTCCTAATTTCTTCTTCAGCTAGAAGTTGGTTTGTTCTCTCCCACAGAAGGCTATTGCTGATGGTATCCGGCCAATGGATGTTGAGTATCTTGCGTAGACAGCTATTTATAAATACTTGTACTTTCTTGATTGTGGTTGTTGTAGTTCTCCAAGTTTCAGCTCCGTACAGTAGAACTGCCTTGACGTTTGTATTGAAGATTCTGACTTTGATATTGGTTGGAAGTTGTTTTGAGTTCCATATGTTCTTCAATTGTAGGAATGCGGCCCTTGCTTTGCCAATCCTCGCATTTATGTCTGCATCTAATCTTCCCTGTTTATCGATGATGCTTCCCAGGTATGCGAAGGATTCTACCTCTTCCAGAGTTTCTCCATCAAGATTGATTGGATTGCTGTTCTCCGTTTTGAATTTGAGGAACTTGCTTTTCCCGTCGTGTATGTTGAGGCATACTGATGCAGAGACTGCTGCTACACTGGCTGTCTTTATCTGCATTTGTTCATGTGTATGCGATATGAGGGCTAGGTCATCTGCGAAGTCCAAATCGTCTAATTGTATTCCGTGTTTTCCCTCAGATATTGAAGTCTTCATAATCCAGTCGACCATTAGAAGAAAGAGGAAGGAAGAGAGTAGACATCCTTTTCTGACTCCGGTCTTTACTTGGAATGCATCTGTCAGCTGTCCTCCATGCACAACCTTGCAATGTAGTCCGTCGTATGAGTTCCAAATAATATTGACAATCTTCTCAGGAACTCCGTAGTGTCGAAGAAGTTTCAATAATGTCCTCATATCCACATTGTCAAATGCCTTTTCATAATCAATGAAGTTGACGTATAGTGACGAGTTCCACTCAACTGATTGTTCGACGATGATCCGTAGTGTCGCCAGTTGATCTGTGCACGACCGATCCTTACGGAATCCAGCTTGTTGATCTCGAAGTTGGGCGTCTACTGCATCCTTCATCCGGTTCAGCAACACTCTGTTGAAGACTTTCCCTGGTATTGACAGCAGTTTAATGCCTCTGTAGTTTTCACATTTGCTCAGATCTCCTTTCTTTGGAATCTTGACGAGGTGTCCTTCTTTCCAGTCCATTGGCACTTGTTCCTCCTCCCAAATCTTTTTGGATAGAAGGTAAAGCATGTTTGTAGTTAATTCAGTGTCTGACTTCAGTGCTTCAACTGGTATGTTGTCGGGTCCTGCTGCTTTCCCGTTCTTGATTTGTCTGATGGTTATTCTGATTTCTTCTGTTGTTGGTGGACATCTATAGGAAGATCTGTGTGTGCTGCTTGATGTCTGGTGGATTCATTGGAGCCGGCCTATTCAGGAGTTCCTTGATGTATTCTACCCATCTGTTCCGCTGTTGTTGAATGTCAGTGATTGGCTTGCCTTCTTTGCCTTTGACCGGTCTCTCTGGTTTACTGTATTTCCCTGATAGTTTCTTCGTTGTATCGTAAAGCTGTTTCATCTTTCCTTCTCTTGCAGCTTTTTCCGCATTCGTTGCTAGTTCTTCCACGTACTTCTTCTTGTCGGGTCTAATGCTCCTCTTCACTTGCTTGTTTGCTTCTATGTATTCAGCTTGTGCTTGGACTTTCTCTTCTCGTGTTTGGCTGTTGTTAATTGCTGTATTCTTGTTCTTCCTTTCTTTGATCTTGTCCAGTGTTTCTATAGAGATCCATTCTTTATGATGGTGATTCTTTAGGCCCAGAACATCTTGCGCGTTGAAGTTAATGCTTCTTTGATACCTTTCCAGTTGCCCTCCATGGTAGTTTCTTCTTCCTTCAGTAGATCCTGTAAGGCTTGGAACCTGTTGTTGAGAGCTATCTTGAATTCATTGAGTTTTTCAGTATCTCGAAGGAAGGGTGTATTGAACCTTTGTAGTGTTGTTTGTCCAGTTTTTCTTTAGCTTCAGTTTTAAATTGACCACAACTAGGTGGTGATCTGAAGCTGTATCAGCTCCTCTCCTGGTTCTCACATCTTCCATTGTCCTTCAGAATTTTTTATTGATGCAAATATGATCTATTTGGTTTTCTGTAGTGTGGTCCGGTGAGATGCATGTAGCTTTGTGTATACGTTTGTGTGGGAATATTTTGCCTCATATGACCAATTTGTTGAATGCACACAGATTTGCAAATCTTTATCCATTTTTGTTTCTCTCTCCCAGTCCATGTCGTCCCATGATATCTTCATATCCGGTGTTGTCTATTCCGACTTTGACATTTAGATCTCCCATCAGAATGGTGAGGTCGTTTCTTGGGCGTTTCTCTATGATTGACTGCAGCCGCTCGTAGAATTGATCTTTAATTTCGTCGTTGCTATCATTGGTGGGTGCATAACATTGGATGATATTCATTGTGATCCCCTCCTTCTTTGTTTTGAATTATGCTTTTATGATTCTGGATCCGTGAGATTCTCATCCTACAAGTGCATTTCGTGCTATTTTGGATAGAATTAGTGCAACTCCCTGAGTGTGTGTAGCATTTTCCTCTTCGTGACCGGAGTATAGCAGCATCTCTCCTGTATTTAGTCTTTGTTGTCCAGCTTGGGTTCAATGGGTTTCGTTGAGTCACAGTACTGCCAAGTTGTATCTCCCCATTTCCATTGCTATTTGACTGGTCTTCCTGTACCCATAAAAATTGTTTCTCTGGTTGTTCGAGGGGGCATCGGCCTCGTGGATTCCGAAGGAACTCGGCTTTCACCATGAAGCGTCATAATTCTTCTAAATGAAGACCGTCCAACTCCCAGGGCAGAGTTTAAATGGTTTGAATAATTTTTTCTGGTTAGCGTTTTTAGCGAGTTAGTTTTCTACGGGATGGGGTCGCTAACCCCATTCACAACCCTCCTCTTTTACCCGGGCTTGGGACCGGCAGTAACTCTAGAAGGGCTACAGGTGGAGTTTTTTGAGCAAATTACATGGTTATTATTTGTAATTTTTCGCACTTGACGAAAATAATGATGATGCATACAATTCATTTATAGACCACTGATCGTAAGAAATGACAAATCTTCTGAAGCAATACTTATGAATGAAAACTTTACAAGATCATTAGGTATTGAAAACAATCAAAAAATGATGATGAAAAAACACTACTCAATTGTTAATGCAACAGATATTTTTCCAGTTGCATGTCCATTGTTACTTCGATCATGGTTGAATGAAATAAAACACTACAAATATTTTAAACATCTAAATAAACTTAAACAACTAGATGAGACTACATTCGAACACAGTGTTGAACTAAACTATGATGAAAATAAATCACTTGAAACAGCTTTTATGAATGTTTTGATTAATCCATCGAAATTCGACAATCAGTTTTTGTCAACTTTAAATATGATATCAAATAAAGGCTGTCGATGCAGTCGTCATATACCACCGGCTATCACTGACTTAGAATTTGACATATTCTTGAATAAATTGATACAATCATATCAGGCTGCAGTGATAATCGTTTACGATTCCAGGTAAGATATATTTTCTGAAAAAAGTATTTCAATGAAACTCTGATTCAATTTGTACCCGGTATTTACGTTATATATTTATAAAAATCAATGAAAAGTTATCAGATTGAATTAGTCTTTTAATTGTGTTATTATCATTAAAGCTTGACTTGTAAGCCGGCTCTCTAACTCCATGATGAACGAATGAGCCATGAACATAAATTACTCGTTTATTTTCGTATACTCTACTTAGACTAATGCCATTTGAGCGACAGTGGTAATGAAAAGCCAAACATTAATTTATTTTATGTATTCGTTTACTCAGAAACACATTAAGATGAGAGTTGGAGAGGACCGATGCGTCAATTCAATTTAACTAAAACGTGATCTAACATTTACAATTACGAAAGATATAAGCAAGCATATAGATACATCATACTATCAAACGTACATGCTCAAGATCATATACAAGAATGATAAAATGACTGAGAAGGTTAATATAACTCATTAGCCTAAAGGTAAGGGTAAATGATGTAGTCAACAATCTGATTAAATAAAATATTGAGATTACTAAGATAACTAAATTGATTGAATCAATACCTAGAAGCTTAATCAGATAGAATTACTATTCAATTAATCGAAGATGAATATTTTATGAGAAATTTATAGTATTGTTTATGTGTAAAATATTTAACCTGACTAGTAGCTGCAGGATATGTTCTTGTCAATGAAGTTTTTTAGCCTCATATTGACTGACCCAGTGATATCATCACCTTTGAATTTAAGCTGAATAAAAATAGGTTATTTATTTGTTGTAGTTTCTCTGGGTTTTTTATCTTCACACTCCTGTTATTTCTCAATAAACTCTTGTGAGTATCCGTTATTCTTTAATTATTCATTACTTCCTCTTTTAGTGTATTGATAGTACATATTCTTTCTGTTCTGTGAAATATTTAATTTGTTACAATAATAAACAAGATGAAAATAATTGATTTAGTATTTTAATATAAAACAGATTACTGGCTTTATTTACGTCTAGAGATGAAATTTATTGACAGACGATTTATTATTTGAATAAATATTAATAAATTTGCATTTATAAAAATGAAATTTAACACATACAAGAATCCGTTTATTTATTTATTATAACACATAGATATTGGTACAAAGAGGCACCAAATACATATGCGCCACACATATCTCATTTGATATGTGTGAGGGCTGTGATACTGCCCGGATGCCCAAACCGAAGCAGGTGGTTTTCTTAGTGGGCCACACCCGGAGCCTTCGACCTGAAGGTCTGATCCACAAGGCAGTGAGGCAACGTAGGGAGATGCAGTCCCATGGTAGCCGGTGACCAACGATTGGTTCATACGCCATTGGTTCCTTCAGGATACTGGAGACCATGTGCACTATTGGTTTGGGATTAGGGTTTTCCGAATCCCCTATGTGGACTCTCCATGTCCACAAACCCGGTTAAAGCGCCGGACAATAATCCGTGAAATAATAAAATAAATTTTGCTTTGATAAACCACAACAAAATAAATGAAAAGAGTTAGTATATTTAAAGTTATATTTTTCTTTGAATTGTTATGATACAATAAAAATATTACTATTTGTAATTATAATGATTTATTTACATTCAGGTTGCCAGATGGGATTCATATTGGTATATGTGATCTTCTTTGCCAGTTATATATAAAACAACAAAATACATTACCAACATGTAGTCGTACTGTGAATGATAAGATTCATATTGTGACTGCAAGTGATCATTTCTCAGAAAGATTATACGATAAATACAAAATTGCAGGAACTGGAGCATGTGCATCAATATCTACGAGAATGGCAGACTATCGATTCTTGATTTATGATATAGCGCAAAATATAAATAATAATGAAAATAATTCTCAGGAATGCCCATTATTACTAAAAAGATATAATGGACGACCGAAACCGGGTGACTGTTTAATTTTTATTCAGGGGAAACTATGTTTTATCGGGTCATCTTTCACAGGCTATGAAGAGTTACCATGGTCAAAAGAACAGTTGGATAAAAAGGTGGCCCAATGCAGAAACCAATTGACTAAACAAGGGTTTTCAATACCTACTGATTTTCAATTTGTTTAATAAGGAATTTTCTTGATAGTTTTGATTTCAATTAAATGATAATAAGACTTCTGAAAAATAGGTTTAATTGTAGTTTCATTCAATTTATAGATCATTAGAATTGTGAGACAGATATATCACCATGGAATAAGAGCACTACTACTAAAACAAATAGTACTGAATTTATATGAAGATAATCAGTTAAAAAGGTCAATAATATGTACCTTCACTATTTTGGTGGAGTTTTGTTTTCTGAGATGGATGGTTTGGACCAAACCATCCATCTCAGAGAAACCACCAAAATCATCCACCTGAGCTACAAGACTCCTCCACCATCTCAACTTTCACTATACTGTAGTATTTCAACATCACGAGAAAAAGCTTTATAGGTAAGATCTAACATGTTGTGTACACAACATATTATTGGGAATCAGGTGTATTAATAATTTATTATGTAGGCTATATTCAATTAACTTTGAATATCATGTCAAGTAAACAATTTGTACTTTCCAATTTAATAATAACGCGGTATGCTTAAACAAACTATAAAAGCTACATGTTACACTGTTAAACTGAACTAGCATACCAATTCTTTGCAAATCTTCTGAAAAAGGAATAGATAATCTGAACATGACAACTTTTACCGTTTTAATGCAACCAGACAGGTTGATATTACCCCCTAATAGCATAATTATAAGTTAAATAATAACTGAAATAGGATAGTTAATAATTTTGTATATATGGTGTTCAGTATTTAAAGAAGGAAAAAAAATGAATATTTCCAAATCACTGATGCCTTTTTCCGATAATACAGATACCAACAAACGGTTCAAATATAGTATTTGTGGCACGTTAATGTTTGACCACTAGACATTGTACTACCCAAGATTTCAATCATCATCCTCATCATTACAATTATGTCAAATTGTTTTTGCTACAAGCCTACTTTTGAGGATGATGTAAATTGTTATTAATTAATGTAGTAATTTTGAAGTGTTATCTGAAATTTGATAAATTCAAAGCATGTATTAAATATTTTTAGTTGTCCTAATAAATATGTTCATAAAACAAACACTTAGTATCATTTCGGTCTAAATCAGATATATCACATTTGTATACTTGAAATAAATTAGTTAATTCACACAATAACAAGACAGGAAACGAATAGCATCGTTTAGTACTCATATGATGAAGTAGAATAGGAATACTGAAGGTAAGTAGTTCCAAAAAAAAAACACCATAATTTGTACGTTAACTAAGAAAACAGCTATTCTTTAGCTTTTCTATTCATTTTTCTTTAAATATTACAAAAAAAGGAAGTAATCATATGCATTAAATGAAAAAAATTATCAAAATTAAAATCGTAGAATTTATAAAAAAAAATAACGATTAACTCGGGAAATATGAAAGTGGGAATAAATAAAATTGAAAATCAAAAATTAATAAAACATTGGTGATAAAAAAAGAAGCCTTAAGTAGATGTTTTATCGTTTGGCCATGTTTTATAGTTTAGTGATACAACATCACGTATATATGTTGGATAAGTAGTTGCAAAAAAGTCAATAAGTGTGATGTTAATACCATCTGGTCCAGCTAACTGATTTGGTTTATTTAACCATTGTTGATAATACTTTCCAGCTATTTTAGCTAAACGATGAACTGAACCAAATGGATGCAGTAAAATGAATGATAAAGTTGGAGTAAGAACACCTTGGTGTACAGAGAAAATATTCTCAGGTCTATGAAGATGTGGTCTGAAATGAAACAATCAGAAACGTTAAAGGCAACAGTTAGACATTTCCGTTGAAATTAAGTAAGGTATTTTAGAGGCGGAAAAACTAGCGAACAATATCTCTAACGTATATCTGATAAACATATTCATAGCTCTCATTGTATTTTATTTCTATTTTTTATAGTCAATCTGATGATTCGCTTAACAGCTGTTTATGAATTTTGTGCACTGTACGCTCGGATACTAAATACAACATCAAGTCTATTTGACAAGTGAAGTGAAACATTCAGTTTAGTATATTAAGATTCGCTTGAAAATGTCTGAAAAGATCCGCAGAACCATTCGATATCAGTGGTAATTAGAGTATTCATTAGTAAAAGTTAAATAACCAATCGTAGCATATTTTGGTTCAAGTTGTAGAATCTCAGAAACTTTTGACTAAAAACCGCATATCTTCTTAATCTGTAGTAAACGAGAACACAGGCTGTGACTACTACATGTATTTTAATGCAACATTACAGAATATCTTGGTAAAATCTGAGAACCATACAGTAAATACTTCATTTGAAAAATGTCAATCAGTTGTCACAGATTTCATTGTTCCTTCGTTTCCGTACCAACCACTCTGTGTTCTCGTTCTCTTCTCTTCGATCTTCTTAACCTTCTGCCGCCAGGCATTTCACTTTCGATTAGTGATACTTACTACTTATATATGTTGGTATCAGTAGCAAACACCACAGATCTACTTTGATTTAAATGAACAGGTAGTGTAGTTCCTCCGATGCATATAACAGACTTATTTTATAGACTGGTACGTGATGATCCTCTATGCTGATGTTTTTTTTAACAAGCAACATTGCCAACTTTAACATTGATAGCTTAATATAGCATCTTAGTATCCCACATATGTGTTAATCCTAAGATATTTACGTTATCTTGTGTGACGGTATGTTCTCAAAATTTACCAACTTGCATAAAAACCAAAAACAAACTGCAAAAAATAAAGACAGTAATGTTTCTTATTGCCAGGTCGGGAAAACTACATAGTTTAGGATACATATAAAAAATCCGATCTTAATTCTAATTTTTTCGCGGTAGGAAACAAGAAAACAATGGATTGTCAATAGTTATTATTCATAGTAATCTCTCAAATAAGAGTAACAAAGAAAAATTAACCAATAAATCTGAACCTAATACAGACATCAGGACAAACAAGATATTTGTAAATAAAATAGAAAATTACAACAGCAGTAAAGGATGAATAAACCTTACTTAATATGGTTATTTAGGAATGAAATCATAGCTCGTGGACCAACAGTTTCCGGCCAAAATGATATTATGTTATAAGAAGGCCAAAATTTTGGATGCATCTTCTCGGGGGAATCTCGATGGCAGGATATAAATATGATTTGTTGCTTAGCACTCCAAAGTTCTTCTAATGTTGGGATATATTTTTGATAAGGGAACATAACATTATCTAAAATCTGGAATAAATGAGTGGTAATGCAGTTTACTAAAGGATTACATATTTACGCAGTGATGCTTCAACCAAACCGTGTGAAAACCGAAGATTCTCACGTTCAAGTTAGTAAACCACTGAGGCAAATTTCCAATATAAGACCGTAATCCTTGGCAATACCTTTAGTATATAAAGCCTGAAATTGTTGATTGCCAGAAGATTTCCCGTAATAAAAGTGTTTGACCTCTCAACATATGCCTGTTGTAAGGGTAACTATGACTCTAAATTATAGACTGACAACAGCAGTTAATTAAAGCTGATTTACGTTTGAGCACGAGAGTACTCACTATTTACACATTGTGCCAAAAAGAGAAACATGTTTACACAAATTGAACTCGACTATTCCCAATTCTATTTATCTCTCGGAAACACTTATACAAGACTCACACAAACAATATGGCAAAAGTTAAATCATCAAGAAATGGATGCCCAACACAGTCAAAATTATCCCTGTGAGTTACAAATCTGATACTATTTCCTATAGATTTTTTGAAAGAAAGCGATTCAAAGTAAAATAACAAACTATAAACAGACAAATTCAATAAATTTAGAATTAAGTCATTGTTTAAATGGGAAGTTAACTACATGGAACAGAAACGGCAATGACTGAAATGAGAAGTCAATTAAGTCGGTGGTGCACTACTATAAGTTCTCAAGTTCTTTTTCAGATTTATTAATCACATTGGCTGAGGTAGTAGTTATGTAAGTTATATTTACGATTATCTTGGTCGATTATTGTTCTATTAAAAAGCAGTGAACTACCCATTTTTACAACAAAGTAAGTTTATAATCGATATCACATGCTTAGGATTCATAAACGCTAAAATCATAATCAGTAATTCATAAAGGGTTATGAGATTGGGTATGTGTTTGACAGATTATTGGACCGATATTCAATCCCCACTCAGACGCTGATGACGACACTTAACCTCACTCTGGAAGAGAGCTTAGCTTTCTGTTGAGCACCAAATAAGTATATCATTTTGTTGAATACTCGATATATAAAATTTTATGAGGATGAGAGGATTTGTGGAAAGGTGATTAGTTAGTGCAACATACGTTATGAATGTGATATCGGAAAAGGCTTTTGTTTTTATTTTTAATGTACAAACTGTTTAGTCAACTTTATATGGAAATAAATATGGTCCTACGACGAAAAGACGCAATAATTATGACATTGTATAAAATCACTATTAAATCTACAAAATATGATGACCGGCAAAACTCAACTGGGTAGCTTTTATTTTACAACCAGAGTTAATCTGTTTCATAAACTGTGGTACATAGTAGTGTGATATAATACGTGTACAACTGAATCGTTTTGGAAAAACAAGCATGTATTGCACGAAATTGTTATCCGATTCATGTTCAATATTTCGTAGTTTCATTGACAGTTGTATCGATGGGTGATTTGCTGGAAGTTTTGGCCAGTTGAAATTAATTTGCAGCATAAAATAGTTGTGCGTACACGGTTTGATCGTGTAAGTTTATTTACTGATTAGTTCAAATTTATTTAACAACTTAATAGAAGGGTTCGTGTTTGACCAATATGTTGTATATTACTCTGTTATACTACCAAACTACCTGTTCCTACCTTTAAAACAGTTGATTCAAAACAACATTCCTGTTCATCAGTTTCAAAATTATAAAAATGATTACAATCCACAATAAGAACTTCTCTCGGATTGGCTTTGAGGAAACCAAGAATGCTCTGAAGTTCTGTAGATAACAGGTTTGCGTACAGTCCGTGTGCTAAATAAAATTCAGATC